ATAGCATATACAATAATAGAATGGAAAACATTTGAAACATAGTTTGGAAGATAAATCATGCTTTCAAAAAAAAAAAACACCATGCCAATCCTGCCATGGCAATTACTCTCCATAGTCTTACGAACGAATACCCAGGGTCCTCGTCAGGTTGCCTCTGTGATATCAGTGCACAGGCCATCTTTCATCATAACACATCTTGCATGAACAAAACATTAATTCCAAACAGCCAAACATATCATTGTATAGCACCATATAACAGATTGCAGTCAAACCAACACTTTACATAGAGGGGTGGAAACCATAGGGAAACTACTTCTACAACCATAAATCACTTACCATATTGTCTCGTCTTTTCACTTCACAAGAGGTCAAGTTCGGCCACGTAGGTATTCCCAATGCTCTGGTCTTCCTTCGCACCCTTGGTTCGGCCTAATCAAATAATAAGACTTAATAGGTGGTTCTAAAACTCACTTGGTCCATACATCACATTTAGGTTCGGCCCTTTAGGATATTATTACTTAGAAGATGATTCTAACAACGTGGACTCATGCATAGCACTATAACAATCCTACTAGTCCACATATAATTCGGTTTTTCCTTTCTTTTTAGGTTCTCAAGAATTCGAATGACGAGATGAAGATTTTGTATTCCTTTAAGCCCTTATAAAACAAAAAATATAAGAGGGATGGAGGTCCATAACTTGAACATAGAGTCTAAGAGACCTTACCTCAAGGATGATGTTTAATGGAGTGATTCTTCCACCAAATATTTCACTCTTGATCTTCTAAGTGTCCACCTTCCACGTGTTCCTCTATAGACAATGAAGGAGGCTTGAAGTTATTTTTTTGATGCTCCTATGCCCTAGATGTGCCAATGGCCGAAGCCTTAGGTGGGAGAGAGAGAGGTTTGTTTCTTTTTGGTTCTTGTTCTTGAGAAGGCCGAAGCCTTGATGAGGGAAGGATGGTGTCCTTTTTTTCTTTGGTTCCTTGTTAAGCTAAGGAGAGTAAGGGAGTGTGACCTTTTGCCTTGGTTCCTTGGGTGTGTACGGCTAGGATGGGAGAAAGGCCTATGGTCATCCATTTTTATTCAAGTCCCCCTAATCATCATGCCTAGGAGAGGATAGGCTAGATCCTAGGTTGAGTGTGGGATAGGCAAGTCTTCTCCTATTATTCAAGGTTATCATGTGTTAGTATATGGGTGTCCTAGAGACAATCTTTTGATTAAATAAGGACATTAAATGTAGACCTTTATTGTCGCAAATAAATAACAAGCACTCTTTATCCTGTTTCATATTATGTCTCGATATTATTGTTAATATATATTATGAATAAACTGGATAAACCCCTTGGAATAGAACAGGTATCTCTTGAGTATTTGTGATGAGATCATAATCATGAGGATTCAAGGATACCGCACGTTTATTCCTAATTTTATGTTCCTAGTCTAGAGACACTGAGAATGGGGATCAGTGATCTCGGATAAGGCTAGCACGACTTATCTACTTGTATACGGATACAAGGTAAAGACCTCATGTGCTACAGATATGGAGATGTCTTAGCTAAAGTCGTGGGTGGACCTATAAGGGTATAGCTCGCATTGAACAGACCCACAAAGAGACTCTATGAGGAAATCTCACAGAGAGTATCATTAGAGTAGTCTCTTTATATTTTGGTATGTCTTTCCTTAGACCAGAAGTTATTACCTAGACTGTGTTCTAGAAGGCATGCTTTGACTGTATACCTTGTCTGCCTAAAACATGGAGACTCATAAGTATATTGTTGGGCTTGTCCTGAAAGAGCACAGGGCTAGGGTGATAAGCTGAATGAATTCGTCAAATCTCTGTGAGAGATTAGGTTATCTGTAAACCGGAGAAATCGGGATGACATTTACAGGGACTCGGGAATCTATGCATAGTAAAAGAGATCATGAGATGATCTGTCTTTAGAGTCAGTAAATTGAAGATTCCCTATTTCGAATAAAGCTTACCCTAAACCGCAAGGGTTGATACATTTCCTTACCCTAGGTTAATGAGAAGGTAATCGAGATGAAGGGAAATACATACGGCAACCAAATATGTGTAATAGGATGATCAAGTAATTAATCTAACTAGTTTTGGGGCAACAAAGCATTGCTAGTGCTCTGTGTTGTCATTAGATGAGTTGTAGGCTTATTGGGCCCAAACCCATTTATGTCAGTGGCTATGTTGGACCTAATGGGTCACGCGCTAACACCTAATTGTCTAGATGAACTAGCATTAAAGGTATTGGGCCTAATAATGGTCATTAGTCCAAGAAGTAGTTTGGAAGTCCACCTTGAGGGTGGAGGGCGCATGAATCACAATAATGGGCTTGGATAGTCCAAGACACTACTAATTAATTTAATTGGTTAAATTAATTATCAAACATTTAAATTTTGAATTTTGAAATTTGGAATTTGAATTTTGAAATTTGAATTTTGAATTTGAATTTTGAAATTCGAATTTTGAATTTGAAATTGAAAATTTGAATTTTGAATTTTGAATTTTGAATTCGAATTTTGAAATTTGAAATTTGAAATTTGAAATTTGAAATTTGAATTTGAATGTTTGAAAGTTTGAATTTGAATGTTTGAATATTCAAATTTAAATATTTGAATTCAAATTTGAATTGGCTATGAACAAATCACTAGTATCAAGAGGAGATCTTTTGGACATGATCCAAGAAGATTAGGGCGCTGATTTTTGCTGTTGGTGAGTGTCATTTAGTCATCAAAACCAGCTCCAAAAGATACGGTCTGTTGGGAGAATATTTGAGTGAGTTGATTCAAGTTTGAATGCAACTACTCAAACGTATTTGGACTCCTTTTGGGACTGAATGGGGCGCACAGTATGAATGGTCATGTGATGACCATCAGGTCAGAATCTTGATTAGATAAAGACCTTATCTCATAAGGATTCAATGGAGAGGTTGTTGGGAGTTTTGAATTGCAACAACTCATTTATCTCCTCATTTTTGTGCGCCACTTTCATGGGATTTCGAAGTGAAAAATCTGATTTCACTTATTTATTCCCTCACTCTCTTGTGCAATACATAAGTGTGTTCCCCCTTAGGGTTTTTTAGTGAAAAAAGACCTAGTCATTCTATCCTCCTTCCATGCGCCACCTTGTGAGGTTTTCTCTCTGAAAACATCACTCTTCTACACACATTTGCCTAGCCTCCTCTTTCATACATTGAGCGCATAGCAAGCCTCATTGTGGTGATCAATTGGTGGTTCTACAAGAAGGAGTTCTTACATCTAGACGCGGGTGGTGTGGATCAACGTTAGAGGGTTTGAACCCTTCAGACCTGACCTTGATCATCCTGAAGTTTCACGAACAAGGTATAATATACGTCTTAAAGCACGTATCTTGATGTGCATGTGTGTTCCGCTAGCGAAAAAAATTTGTTTTTCCCTATCACATGCCTCGACCTTCAAGGTCATTTTACTTTCATCATGCGCATGGGAGGTGAAAAGAGTGTAGAGTGTGGGGGATACTCAAGGTGTCATACAAGCCATTTATTCCCTAGGTCTTTTGGGAAGTGGTGCGCATGGGGAGGAGAGATTCATGCATGTCACGCCTAGGGTAGAGAGAAACAAGGTTCAAGCTTTAATCACTCATAAGGAATATTGGTTAGTGTGTAAGGCTTTTGCCTTTGATCCTTACTTGACTGAAACCCTAGGAGAAAAGGGTGTCATAGCGTTCTTCCCAATGCATGGAGGTTGGATGAGGTAACCTTGAGTGTGCAATACTATATGTAAAGTGTGTAAGACAAGCCATGCTCTTTTCATGATGATAATTTTGCCTAGGGGGAAGGGGAAAAGTGAATCTACTTTTTAATCATGAATGAAGGAAGTCTTGGGTTTATGAACCTTTGATGCGTCGCCTAGGGAGTGGGAAAGGCAATTTATGTCTCCTTTCTTCTATCATGGCCGACGGCTTGCACTTGGGAATGGCCAAGTTTCATTCAATTTTCTTCCCTTATTGGTTGGTTGCATGTAGTGGCAACTACTCATCAAATGCCACATCATTCATCATATGTTCATGGACTTGGGCTTTGTTGCACCACTAAAGGGGGTCCACGATATTGGCTTCTAAATGGGTTGGGATTTTGTTGCATTTTGGGCCAAGACCACACTAGGTAATGGGTTCGGCCCAAATGGCCTTTTGGGGTTAGATTTCCATTGAAATTTGTGAATGGGCCAAGTCTTATTCCTTATTGCTGTCGGATCTCATCTTCACGCTCCCAGGTTGCTTCTTCAGGGGTCCTTCCTTGCCATTACACCTTCACCATCGGAATCACCTTGCTGCGGAGTCGTTTCTCTTCTCTATCTAAAATCTTGCAGGGTGCCACCAGAATCTTCAAATTGGGTCTCACTTCAACAGTGTCTAGTAATACGACATGGGAGGGATCCGCCAAATACTTCTTCAACTGGCTTACATGGAATACATCGTGAAGGTTTGCCAGATTGGGTGGTAATGCTAATTGATAGGCTACCGGTCCTACCCTTTTCAGAATCTGATAGGGACCGATGTATCGTGGACTTAACTTCCGTACACCAAGAGCTTTGCCGACACTAGTAACAGGGGAGAGTTTGATGAATACATGATCCCCTACTTCAAACTCCAGGGGTCGGTGTTCCAGGTCATAGTAACTCTTCTATCGATCTTGGGCTTTCCGTAGCCTGTCGCAAATCATCTTGATCTGTTCCGTCGTTTATCTGATCAGGTATAGTCCGAACAACTCTCTGTCGCCAATTTCTTCCCAGCAGGTAAGCGTACGACACCTTCTTTCATAAAGTGCTTCGTACGAAGCCATACCGATACTGGCAAGATGAATGTTATTGTAAGAGAATTCTGCCAATGGCAGGTACTGATCCCAACAACCTTCCTTCTCTAAAGCGCATGCCCGTAACATGTCCTCGAGTGTTTGTATTGTCCTTTCAGTCTGTCCGTCGGTCTGGGGGTGATAAGCCGTGCTCAATCACAGCTGGGTCCCGAATGCCTGTTGCAATGAAGACCAGAATTGGGATGTAAACTTAGGATCTCGATCACTGATTATGCTCTCAGGGACGCCGTGCAACCTTACAATTTCCTTCACATAGATCTGAGCCAACTTCTCTGTCGTGTAAGTCCCTTTCACCGGTATAAAGTGTGCTGATTTGGTCAATCTTTCGACCACCACCCAGATGGCATCGTAGCCTGCTTGAGTTCTGGGTAAACCTGTTACGAAGTTCATAGATATACTCTGCCATTTCCACTCCGGGATGTTCAAGGGTTGTAGGGTGCCTGCAGGTCGCTGATGTTCAATCTTTACTTTCTGGCACACCATGCATTTTCTCACGTACCTTCCCACGTCTCTTTTCATTCCTTTCCACCTGAAGTTCTTCTTCAAGTCTGCGTAAATCTTGGTGGCTCCTGGGTGTATTGAGTATTGACTCTTATGCGCCAGCTCCATGACTTCCTCGCTCAGGAGTTTTGTAGGGACAACTATCCTCCCTTGGAAAGTAACTATGCCTTGCTGGTTTAGGCTAACACCAGATTGGTTCCTCAGTCTCTTCAAGCAGTTGACGGCTTGCTGAGCATGTTTGATCCTTTCTAGTAGTTCGTCTAAGATCTGCACCGCCCAATATTCGGCCTCACATTCGCTATTTAACACTGCTAAGTTCAAGTTCCGGAATTCCTCTATCAGTCGATGCTCGGCTATCATCATGCTCGCAACTCCTCTGGTTTTTCTGCTCAAGGCATCTGCGACCACATTTGCCTTGCCGGGATGGTATTGCAATTCAAAGTTGTAGTCCTTTATGAACTCCATCCAACGGCGTTGTCTCATGTTCAACTCCTTTTGATCGAATAAATACTTGAGGCTCTTGTGATCACTGTACACTATTAAAGTGGTACCGTACAAGTGATGACGCCATATCTTCAAGGCGGACACGATCGCAGCTAATTCTAGATCGTGTGTGGGGTAGTTTTCCTCGTGCGGCTTCAGTTGTCGGGATGCATACGCTACTGGTCTGCCGTGTTGCATAAGTACACATCCCAAGCCTATCTTGGAGGCATCACAATATACCTCGAATGATTCCTCCGAGTCTGGCAGCTTCAGTACTGGAGCTGTTGTCAGCATTCTTTTTAACTCTTGGAAACAGGCTTCACATTCTTGGGTCCACATGAAAGGGACTTCCTTTCTTGTCAATCGGGTAAGTGGCAACACCCTCTTCGAGAACCATTCGATGAATCTCCGATAATACCCTGCTAGTCCAAGGAAGCTCCTTATCTCTGTGACAGTCTTTGGTCGTTCCCAGTCTACTACTGCTTCGATCTTACTGGGATCCACTGCTACTCCTTTATCTAAGATTACATGTCCAAGAAATTGGATCTCTGGCAGCCAGAATTCGCACTTCGATGGTTTCACATATAGTTGTTTCTCTCGCAATACTTGTAGCACAATTGGATCTCTGCATGCTTTTCTTTGCTTTTCGAGTATATTAGTATCGTCGATGAATACGACCACGAATCGATCCAAGTAAGGTTGGAAGATCTGATTCATGTAGCCCATGAATACTGCCGGGGCATTAGTCAATCCGAAGGCGATGACCAAGTACTCATAGTGTCTGTATCTCGATCTGAAGGCGGTTTTAGGGATATCTTTCGGCTTGATTCGGATATGATGGTATCCTGACCTGAGGTCGATCTTCGAAAATACCTTTGCACCCCTTAGTTGATCAATTAAGTACTCGATACAAGGCAAGGGGTACCTGTTGAGTTGCCGATAGTCCGTGCAAAGTCTCATCGACCCATCCTTCTTTTTTACAAATAGAATTGGTGCTCCCCACGGGGACACACTGGGTCAGATGAAATTCTTCCCTAACAAGTCTTCTAGTTGCTTCTTCAATTCTACCAATTCAAGGGGAGACATGCGGTAGGGTGCAATTGAGATTGGCCCAGTCCTGGGCATAAGTTCAATAGAGAACTCCACTTCCCTTTCAGGGGGAAAGGTGGTAATGTCGTCAGGAAATACATCCTCGAATTCTTTGACCACGGGAATGTTCATCAGCAGCGTCTCGCTTGCACTTACCAAGCCGGCTATTAGCATGGAAGTATAATCTCTTGATTCGACCGGTGAAGTACTGGGGAGTGGGGCCGCCGACTATAATACTTTGGCTTCTACAATCAATTACTACGCGCTGCTTGGCCAGCCAGTCCATTCCCAATATTAGGTTTAGTTTGGCTAAGGGGAGAAATATGAAGTCTTGGTTGTACTTCTTTCCTTTGTATCTGAATTCTACATTTCTACATATGAACTGAGACGCTGTCACTTCCCCCGTCGCAGAGGTGACTTGCATTGGGGATTGCATTGGGCTCATAGTTAAGTTAAATGCATTTGCCACATAGTCGGCAATGAAGGAATTGGTCGCACCAGGGTCAAATAAAACAGATAGTTCTTCACCACATATATTGATCGTACCTTTAAGTAGTTCAGCTGCCCGGTCCGCCACATGTTGATCCAGCGTGTAAACTCTGCCCATTCTTGGTGCCTCAGCTGCTGGCTGTTGTTCCCTCCATTATGGACAATATTTGATGAAGTGTCCATCTTGGCCGCACTTGAAGCATTTCATCGATCCGCTCAAACAATTGCTGAAATGTGCCTTCCTACATTTGGGGAAATTGGGAGCCCTGCTGCTGTTTCCTTAAGGATTCCCGGGCCTCTTAAACTTGTGGTCATCACGCCTGGGCTGCCATGGTTTGCCTCCGCTCTTCCCTCTCCATGGTCCATTCCTAGTCATCAGAGTTCCGTGTCCGAATCCGGTGGTCTCCGCGGGCTTCCTAGTTTGCAAACCGACCGCCTCCACCTTTCTACATCGGTTTACTAGGGTGGCCATGTCACAGGTGTCGTTGCCAGCTACCAATTTCGATTTCCTAGCGGACAGACCCCTTTGGAATTTTGCTTTCAGAAAATTCGGCATGGGCATGGTTCCTCGGTAAGTCTCCAATCAGAGTAGTTCGTTGAACTTAGCGTGATATTGGTCCACCGTCATGGTCCCTTGTACGAGTCGGTCAAATTCGCCTTACTTGCTGTCCCGGATTGACATCGGGAAATACTTCTCCAAGAACATTTCTTCAAATATGGCCCAAGTAATCGCCGCATTTTGCATCTCCAAAAATTGAGACGCATTAGCCCACCAATGATGGGTGTCTCCTTCCAACATGTACACCGAAAATAGCACATTTTAAGCTTCGGTGCATTGGACCACTCTGAATATTTTGTCCATGGCCTGTAGCCACTGCACAGCCACGATCGGACCGTGTGCTCCTTGAAAAGAGGGTGGTTTGTGTTTCCTAAATGTCAGCAGTAGATCTTGATTATTCTGGCCCGCCGCTCCATGGTCCGGGGGCGGTTGGGCACCAGCACCGGCTCCTCCGGTGCCTGAGCCGCTCACGGTGTTGTTATGGGTTGTGTTGTGAGGGTTGCGTCTTATTTCGTTCAGAATATTCTGAAACATCTCCCCCGCGTTTGTCTGCATCTGTGTGATGGTATCCCTTAAGGTATTGATTTGCCCTTGCATGTCCTCGGAACCTTGAGGATTATTGCGATTAGGTGGTCTACGCGGTGGCATAGTGACTGCACATATGTTACATGGTATAACAAAGGGAGTTAGAGAATAGTTTTATTCCAAAGTTCAGAAAATGCTCTGATACCATTAAATGTAACACCCCAGATTGTAACACCCGAGGTATTAACATTGCTTAACAACATACTTAGAGCGAAAAGCTTACCCTGAGCGTGGCCTACTCTTGAATTCTAGGAGAATTAATTTCGTTCTTTAATTTGACTAAGTTAACAATCGTACTTATCCATCTAATAATGTGTTCTTAGCGTCTACAGTTTCCTCACAATGTCTAGGGTGCATTATGTCACGATTTGTATCCATATGAATTTCTAAGTCTTCTAATGATCCTCACCTTCCACTACGTATAGTTTCATCATTTGATCCTCCTATTATTCTCCAATTTCCAGCCACGAATGCAATTACCCTTAAGTTCTTTATGTAATTTCCATCAAGTTAAATATCTCTTCGGGGTCCATCTAATGAGTCATAAACTCCAGGATGAAGTCCTAGCCTTATTCATACCTCTTAACCCGTTATGTGATATTAAAATTTAGTCAATTAACCTTAAATAACAATGCATGGCCAAATCATATGGGTCTTACGACTTAATTGCATAGTCCATAAAACATAATGCCTCTTAAATAAAAACTCCCAATTATAATACCTTAAACGCATATCAAATGTCTAAAGTAGCATAAGCACATATCAAATGTCTAAAGCAGCATAAGTAGCAAAATTCATTACAGTCATCCAACTATAAATAAAAGGCATCACTCAATCCATAAGGATTCATTGTAGTCATAGTCCCCGAAGACTTCAACCAACACAAGATACATAGCCTGCTCATACAGCCCTTCATTACAAAGTTCAGTAATTTTATCCACAAGTAATTGCATGGTATCATCTTCATGACGTACTAGTCTCTTGCCTTTCCTTACCCACTTGGTCATTTTTACCTGAAAGGGGATCCCCAAAGAGGGGTGGGATTGGGGTCTCAGTAAGGACTCATAGTTGGAGAAACCTCCAAACAATGATGCTTACTCCTGCAATAGTCATATAATAGCATATACAATAATAGAATGGAAAACATTTGAAACATAGTTTGGAATATAAATCATACTTTCAAAAACCATCATACCAATCATGCCATGGCAATTACTCTCCATGGTCTTACAGACGAATACCAGGGTCCTCGTCAGGTTGCCTCTGCGGTATCAGTGCACAGGACATCTTTCGTCCTAACACATCTAGCATGAACAAAACATTAATTCTAAACAGCCAAACATATCATTGTATAGCACCATATAACAGATTGCAGTCAAACCAACACTTTACATAAAGGGGTGGCAACCATAGGGAAACTACTTCTACAACCATAAATCACTTACACTATTGTCTCGTCTTTTCACTTCTCAAGTGGTCAAGTTCGGCCACGTAGGTATTCCCAATGCTTTGGTCTTCCTTTATACCCTTGGTTCGGCCTAATCAAATAAGGAGACTTAATAGGTGGCTCTAAAATGCACTTGGTCCATACATCACATTTGGGTTCGGCCCTTTAGAATTTTATTACTTAGAAGATGATTCTAACCAGGTGGGTTCATGCATGGCACTCTAACCATCCTACTAATCCACATATAATTCGGTTAACATGTAAGTCCAACTTTAATAAGGTTTTCCTTTAAGCCTTCACAAACTAAAAATATAAGAGGGATGGAGATCCATAACTTGAACATAGAGTCTAAGAGACCTTACCTCATAGGATGATGTTCAATGGATTGATTCTTCCACCAAATACTTCACTCTTGATCTTCTAAGTGTT